CTAATTTGAAAACCAACCCCAATAACCTTAAACTCATTTCTTACCTTTGATCCCATGATTCCGATTTCAAAACCAACACACAAAACCTTAAACAAATTGAAAGGAAATCAAGGTGAGAAATCGATAGAAGGTGAGATTAAATGTATGAAGGTGAAGATGTAGAGTAATAACCAAGATTGATGCCTTCTTCAACCTTCATGTGAAAATTCAGTTGCTTCTCCTGCAAATCCGGTTGCGATGAAGATTGTTGTAACATTCATAAAATTCATAAAATTTTAAAACTTTTTTAAGCATCCAAAAACCATTATTTATTGGAAAATGTTTTCAAAATAGTTTCATATCAGAGAATCACAGAAATCAAAATCATAAAATGTGAGGAGGTGCACGATCAAACCTTCGCCTTCTCGCGATCATCCGAAGTACCTGAAACAAAATCCAAAACTGTAAGCCCGAAGCTTAGTGAGTTCCCCCAAAATCTTAATACATAACAAATAGCACACATAATAACAGCATGTAATGGGTCCACAAGTTTACAGACTGGATTACCCCCGAGCCCACAATGTGAGTCTGGCTTGCCTTACAGGCCCACAACTCACATCTGGCTTGCTCCCGAGCCCACAACATAAGTCTGGCTTGCTCTCGAGCCCACGACTTATGTCTGGCTTGCCCCTTCGGTCCTCAAACTGGAATACAAATGATCAGCCCTCAGTGCGAGTCTGACATGCTCCCCTGGCCCTCGGCTCGCATCTGGAATGCTTAAGAGTCCTCAGTATGAGTCTGGCATGCTCTCACTGGCCCTCAGCTCATATCTGGCATACTCTAGGGTTTGTTGGTTACCGCACAGAGTAGTACAACCTCAACCCTACCCACATAACATGTCGACATGTAACATCTAAATACACATACAAATAATCAGACAGTATCACAGGTAGTCCTAATGGGTTGCACGCATAAAGTTAATAAATAGATAAAATGGACTTAGAAGAACATATTGTAAGCTTATGGAGTGATGTTATCCATACCATATTTTTGTCACATAGACGTTACGTCACTCTTGCAACACTATAATAACTTCTTGCAGTTTATGGGTGGTTTGCCACACTTTTTCATAAAATAAATATTAATAATTATTTTTTTAACATTTTCCATTAATAGAAAATAATCCTAACAGTAGTGCACATAGTAATCGTAACATTGATTATATAATCAATTTAACATAAACTCAACTCTAATCTTCAAATGCCTTTAACACAACTCGATATATATACTCATACAATATACAATCACTAATCACACAAATAGCCTTATGTACAGTTAATTGAAACTCATTAACAATTAAGAGTTCACAACTCTAATATTATAATTGCACCACGACTAAACATGGTTGACGACTACTCAAGCCACCATTAAACTCAATGATAGATTTACGGTTACACCAACTACCATTGTCTTTAATAACCACAATAATGAATTTACAACTACTTAAGCTACCATTAAACTCAATAATAATGACAATGGTTTTACGACTACTAAATCACCATTCCACTAACACTTATCAATAATGGATTTAAAGCTACTCAACTACCATTTTCTCTAATAACAATAGTAATGGACTTATAGGCTATAACTACACAAGCTACAATTAGATCGTCACGATGCACTCATTATGCGACCTTCTATAGTATTCCTCAAGTAATACTACATTAGAATTCATATAACTCTAGACCTCAACTCTATAATTTCATTTAACTCTTTTACTCTATTTGATATGATCATCAAATAACTCGTTATGATGCTCACCAAACAAGCCGAGTATCATCACAAAAAACCTCGTTATGTGACCTCAACTTTCTTGTTACTCGATACCACAAGAAACTCATTATGTGATTCGCTATACGCAGTACATATAGTCATAAGAAACTACTCATGTGACTCGCCTAGCTCATTAGATAACTAGCTATAACATTCAACCATTCTCAACCAAGCATTTCTCTTACTATTTGTAATACCCCGTTTTCACTTTATAGTAAAGTTTAACATAACTGCTAGTTTATAAAATTTGAAGTAGAAGTATATTACTTTTTAGTCAAAACAATCATCATAAACATATCATACACGTCAATATGATTTTCATACATATAAAGAACTCTTAAATATGAATTCGTATGAAGAAGTTATGATTCTTGGATGTTTTGTGTTCAGCCCTATACAACAAAGTGTGTCGTAAAAAGTGAATCAAATATAGGTTTCTTATTAGCCTAAGTAGTCTAAACAAAAGTCGTAGCAATTGTAAAAAGGAAAGCATGCATATAAAGAACGTCCAAATATGACTTCGTATGAGGAAGTTATGATTTGTCAAAGGTTCGATGTTACACAGTACAACAATGTGTAACACGGATATAGAAATTTAGATCGGTTGATTGTTAGCCAAAAAATGCAAACAATAGTTGAAGATCTCATGAATAGGAATCTGTAGATATAGAGACAATCGAGAACAGAGTTCGTATGAAGGAGTTATGATTTTCTCACAGACTTTGACAATCTAATATGTATAAAAATATGAAATTAAAATAGAGTGAAAATTAGTTGTTTTGGTATAAAGGAAAGTTTTAGTTCTCTGAATTACCTATGTGTGGATATAAAGAACGTAAAAAACGAAGCTTGTATGCGAAAGTTATGGCCTTTCGAAGATTTCAGAAAATACTTGCTTGTAATGATGTGGTAGCACCAGAGTACACCATGTGGCCGAGTGAGAGTCGAGTCTTTCAACTGACACGATGACATGACACCATGGGGTTGCGACATGTGGCGCCATGATATGATGACACGTGGCTTGGCTGGAGGCAACGTCGACTGAGTAACGTGGACGAACGGAGACCTGACACATGACACCAACCAGAACCGGACATGCCAGCCATGGGCGCGGCGCCCCTTGGCTTATGGGTCGACATGCCTCCTTATTCTGCCTATATATAGTACTCATCAATAACTATAACCTTAATTGCAGTAAAACTCAGTATCTTTGCCACTACCAGTAAATCATTCAGTTGCATAATTTCTTTATCTGCTAATAACGACTACTAATGCGTCCATCTATATAATCTTTATAAACTCGTTACTTTAACAGAAGTGATCAACTGTGAATTTCTATTACGTCGAATTAATAGCTCATATGACGATAGATTGTTGTAATTCTCAACTATAAATCTTTGCCATTCTATTTATCAACTCGTATAACAATAAATTGATATAATTCACAACAATACCAATTAATTAACTTGTATAATATCAAATGACAATGTTATACTCATTCCATACACAACATACATCACATAATTACATATAAATCATCTAGAAAGGGATAGGTTACCACATGGTTATGTTGCATGTATAAAAGATTTCAACTCTAGAAGTCCCACAACTTCACCCGTTTCAATAATTCCAATAGTTGTCAAAATAACACATATTTCTTGAATAACATAACCCATGATATCACTCTTTTTATGTGTCCGACTCAACATTTCCATCTAATACATAATACGCAACTTTGTAGCTAAACTCGTTAAGCTTTGTGAACTACTTATTAAGGTGTCTTAACCCATTAAGACATAAGCTTAAATCTCATTTCACATATTGAAAACCGTAACTCAATTTATAAGTCATTTATTCATGACTTAATCATCTAATTGATTTTTATATCAAATCAATTATACTCCATGTATAACTCATCTATATAATTATTTAATTAAGATATAAGCTTAATTCCACTTAAACTCAATCCCAACAAATTAGGGTTTATCATCACTTTACCCTAAATCAATAATTAATTGTGAACACCTAGTAAACATATAATCTTGATGTTTATCACCCCTATCATCTTTATATACCAAACTAGTAACATATATAATAATATCACAACCGGGGTTTGTAAACTCTTAACCTAATTCAAACTACACAAATGAATTTAACAAGAAAATTAAAAACTTTACCCCTCAATTTAATTGTGATTATCAACACTTGTAATCTCCACTTTACTCATTTTGCTTCTCTTCATTTATGGGCCAAAACCCTCCCTTAACTACTTCTGTAATGAGAGAATAAGAAATATAGGGCAATAGTTGACCCTATAAGTTTGCATTTTTTTGCTGAGTCGGTGAGAACACGCCACATCCCTCGTCGTTACTTTAAGTACAACAACGTACTGCCTCATGTGCCGCATATTCCTTTATTTATCTGTCGCGTTCACAAAGTACACTACCATTTTCAATACTTAAAGTATTTCGACAATTCACCAACACTGTTCTTATTAGCAATGCATCGTGTAACATCTCATAACATCTCACTTTCTTATCAAAAACTTATATATCTCGTAATAATATTTGTTATGAAAATAGGTGTCACATTTGGTGACTACCGCAACCAACTGGCATGCAAATCATTTAAGCCCAACTTCGGAAAAATAAAACAAAAGATAAACAAACCAAAAAGACAAACTTGAGATGAGAATGGAAGTTGGACCGAGCCAACAAAATATGAATAAACACCGGGACAAAATTTGCAATTTATTCAAATATTCTCATTCCCGAGTTCAAATTAACGAGAGAAAAAGAAAGGAACTGGGGAGAAGTGAGAAGAAAGTAAAAGAAATTGGTGTTCTTAAGTTTCATTAAACGAAGGAAGTGGAAGGAAATGAAATGACCACTTTCCCTCCTAACTTTCCTTCCGATTTGGAAGGATTTGGAGAGAAAGAAAAAAATGTTTAATTTTTATTCTACTTCTCTCTAACTCGGAAACACAAAAGAAAAATTTATTTTATTTTCTTTTCTCTCATTACTTTTCTTTTCTCTTCTTTTATTTTCTTGCTATAACTCGGGAACTTTAACTCGAAATGAAACCAAAAACGAAAATAGCAGTGATAATGGGATAAATCAATAAGAGAAGGGTTGCAAATGTAAAATCCCGCCGACATAGTTTAACCCTGAGTGGTTTACAACGACAGTGAAAAATAATGCTTGAAAACTAACAATACGTGTGGGGGCGGTCTCTTCGATTCAATTCCGTAAATCAAGAGCCTTTTCGTTCTTCCATAAATTTCTTCAATTCAATTCGTTATCGCTTTCTCAACTACTATCGATTTCTTCATCTTCTTCGTATCGTTATCCATTTACATACATAGATTTAGGTGTATATACGTGTATACGTCTTTGATTTTCATCGTTTTTACTCTACAAAACCCTAACAATTTGAATTTGATTGTATAAACTGTTCATTTCTTTTAGTTTCTGTTAGTCTATGAAATTCTTTGTATCGTGAATACGTCAACTAGAACAAATCCCTCGTTATTTTTTGCTGAGGGATTCGAATTTGTTGGTTTTATGTCTTGATCGGGTTAAGGTGTTAAAAGTACCGAGAATCGGTTTTTTGTTTGGGGAAAGAGGTTGAAGTGTGTCGTGCAAGTAAATTTGGATATTTCTGTTGTGTAGCGATTGATTGTCGAGACACCTGTGAGCTGATTCGGGAATAAGGCTATTTTATGTGCTTTTACAAGGAAACAGACTTGAGGCTATGATTAGTTTTTGAGGATTCTGCTGGGTTCATGTGAGTTTTGAGGATGAGGAAGATCGACCAGAAGCAACGACAAGGTGGTGGCGGTGGTGGTCGGATTGGAAGTAACAATGGGTTCATACCGTCTTCTTTTCGCTCGCTTTCTAGCTACTTGAGGATTGTGTCCTCTGGTGCATCCACCGTTGCATCCACTGTTCGTTCTGCTGCTTCAGCTGCATCCACCATTGTCGACCGTGATAATGATGCAGTTCCCGATCAGGTGAGTTTGTTTGTTTATCTCGAACTTGTATTAGTCTTAGAGTAACAAATGATCGAACATCATATGTGTTCTTGCTCTATGGTCAGTAGATCATTTAGCCTTTTTCTGACATGTTATTGACTGGTTTGGTCTCTGATACCTCCAAATGACCCCTGTTTTCCATGTTTTATACACAAAGGTGCTATGGGCCGGGTTTGACAAACTTGAATGTGAGGGAGATATCTCACGCAGAGTGCTCTTGCTAGGGTATCAATTTGGTTTTCAAGTGTGGGATGTTGAAGATGCCAACAATGTGCGTAACATAGTCTCACGCTATGATGGTGCTGTTTTTTCTATGCAATTACTGCCAAAACCAATTGTCCCAAAGCATTCCCAAGTTGAATATGCAAACAGTCGCCCTCTTCTGGTAATTTGTTCAGATGGGTCCTTCTCTGCAGGTGGAAATCCTCCTGGTAATGGTAACATAAAAAATGGTCATGATCAAGTAAATGGTGGCTCTGTGCCTACTGTGGTATGGTTCTATTCATTAAAATCTCAATCTTACATAAAAGAATTGAAGTTTAGATCGGTTGTTTACTCAGTAAGATGCAGTTCACGTATTGTTGCTGTTTTACAAGCAGCACAGGTTTGTTTCTCTCTCATTCATTATTTCATTCTTACCCTTCACCATTTTCTTTTATCAAGATTCAAGAACGAACATTAAAGTCATATTTACATGCATCACAGGTGCATTGTTTTGATGTTGCAACATTACAAAGGGACTACACAATCCTCACAAATCCAATAGCAACAACCCCTTCAAGATTTGAAAATATAGGTTTGGGGCCTCTTGCTGTTGGTCCTAGATGGATTGCTTACAGTGGTAGTATTGTTGCATTACCAAATACACGTGTCAGCCCACAGCATCTCACACACTCCAAAACTTTTTCTGCTCCTGGTTCAAATGGGAGCATTGTTGCCCACTATGCAAAACAATCAAGCAAGCAACTTGCAGTTGGAATTGTTACTCTTGGTGATATTGGTTATAAGAAGCTTTCTAGATATTACTCTGATTTTTTGCCAGATGGCAACATTTCTCAACAACTAAACGATCGTAAAGATCGTGTAGCATCTAATGGACGTTTACCTGATGCAGAAAATGTTGGAATGGTAATTTCCTTCTCTTAAAGCTTTTGGGATTATTTTGTTTGTGTATTATAATATAACATGTCTTTTTTTTTTTTATCAGGTGATTGTGAGAGATGTTGTCAGCAAATCAGTAATTGCTCAGTTTAAGGCACATGATAGTCCTATAGCATCACTAGCTTTTGACCCTAGTGGGACCCTTTTGGTGACTGCTTCTGTTCATGGTCATAACTTTAATGTTTTTCATATCATGCCACGGGTTTCAAGTAACTCATCTGGATCTGAAACTAGTGCATCTTACATCCATCTTTACAAACTCCAACGTGGCTTTACAAATGCTGTAAGATTCTTACTTTTCCTAAATTTCATTTTCTTGATTTTCAACTTCTCTACAGTGACTTCCTTCAACAGGTCATACAGGACATAAGTTTTAGTGTTGACAGCAACTGGATAATGATAAGTTCATCAAGAGGCACTAGCCATCTATTTGCTATATCCCAAGAATGCTTGAAATATGATGCAACAAACAAGTCTTCAGATTCTGGATTATCACCTAATTCTGGACCACAGACTCTTTCTGCTGTTAGCAGAATAAGGAGTGGAAACAGTGGTTGGAAAAACGTGGTGACAGGAGCTGCTGTAGCTGCATCTGGGAGGGTGAATAATTCACATTCTGGGGTTATTGCTTCTACTTTTTATAAATGCAAGGGTAACAGTAACAATACGGGTTCAGATTTAAGTTCTTTAATGGCAAAGTACCACATGTTGGTTTTTTCTTCTTCGGGCTGTGTGATACAGTATGCACTTCGGTTATCATCTGAGGTGGATTCTGTTCCAGTAACAGTAATGTCTGGATTGAATAATGCTTATGAATCTTCTTCTGATCATGATTTGAGATTGATAGTAGAACCAATTCAGAAGTGGAACATTTGTCATAAACAGAACAGACGGGAGAGAGAAGAAAATTTTGACATATATGGCGAAAATGGGCATACAGATAGCAGGAGGGTATTTCCGGAAAGAATCGAAAACGAAAATAGTGATTATTTCGAAGGTATGTGTAAGGTCAAAAAAGACAATGTTAGCCTTGAGGAAAGGAATCATGTGTATATATCCGAAGCTGAGTTACAGATGCACCAATCTAAGATCCCGTTATGGGCAAGAGCTCAGGTACATAATAAGCCTACACTTTGACTTTATTTATTTGACTTTCTTTGGAAACCCCCATCTGATTCCGTTGATTTTTGGGGTAGATATATTTTCAATCTTTAAAAATGGATGATGTCATAATGGAAGAGGAAAATAATTCAAAAGGTGAATTTGAGATAGAGAAGATTACAACACACACAGTTGAAGCAAGACCAAGACATTTGGTGCCAGCTGTCGATCACTTCCGAGGACCTATAGTTCAAACAACACGGTAATATTTTTTTTAACTACATTGCTTATATTTGATCATTTGGAAAGGAAAAACTTATTATTATTTTTTTTTTGTTACACAGAGTTCCGAGTTTAGATTACATCAGTGGTGGGGCCACCCCTCAAATCTCTGTTTCGAATGGTGGTGATCCAATGTACTTGATGCCATATGCTGATGTCAGCGAAGGTGGAGCTGATAATGGTGATGAAGAAAATGGGGTGGATGCTAGTCAAATGCCAAAAGGTGTTGTAAATAGTGACAGCTGTCCGATATCTGACACTCAACCAGAGACTGTAAATAATAGAGATTGCTCGGGGAGTGTGAGTGGGACCCAATCACAATCTGAGCTTGTAAATAGTAACAACAGCATAAGTCAGAAACTGGAGAACCATTTGCAAGATGAAGGTGACAAGGAGGTTGATTAAAGGTAAACTTTGACCAGTTACTATTACATATTTTGACTGTTTTGTGTTGTGGTAACATTTGGGGTTGTGTTGTGTAGGTGGGGACAGGATCTTTGTATGATGGTTTCTATTGTAAAAAAAGGAGGCATGTTGAGGGGTTGAGTTTACTTGTTATATTTGTGGGGTTGTGGCGATTGTATCAAAGGTTTGTTGTTCTGATGACTTGTGTAAATAACACTTTGAATAATCATGAATAATGATGTCTTGGATAGTAGCATCATATCATTTGCAACTCTTTGATTTTGGGTTCTTCTCAATTCTAATGCTAATTTGTTTTCTTACTTCTTTGTTTTTCATTATTTAAGCAAACCCTTTTTTGCTCTCAAGGTAGAATCAATCAAAGAGGGAATGATTTGCCACCCATCATTTTTTTTTTCAGCTTCTTGAAGTTGAACATAATTACTTACCAATTTGGGTGGGAATCATGTTATCAAAGTTAACAACTTTCACAATGACCTTACATTTCTTCATAAAGTGTTATTTCAAAATGCATATTAATTGATTATTGAAGCATTCATATTGATACGCATATATATGAACTACTCACTTTCATTACCAACGGCAAATTTCAAAATGCATATTAATTGTCATCACCCCTGATTCATCCAAACCCTAACATGTACCCTGATTTTAACAAAATTTTGTCTTTGGAATCACCAAAACCGTGTTTTGGCTCTTTTTACTACTTTAGGAAGTGAAAATTGCAAATATAACGTATTTCCACTCCTAGTCACATTTTAAATGAGCAGGTCAACATGTCAACCACTACTTTTAGTCATTCCAACAATACCAAAACAATATATAACATATTTCCAACTATCAAAACAACATACTTACATGACAAGTCTTAATGACTTTATACAACTACCGTATTAAATTAAGACTATAAACACCTTCCATACCTCATTTGGCTAACCTACTTTAATCAATTCCGCATCTTTTCATATCTCAAACCAAAACTAGGGTGTTAAGCATCCCCACACATAATCTCACTTTTAGACTATTTTTATTTCAAGGTGAATTTTTATTTTCTATTTTATATTCTGAGGGAGTGGAACAATATACTAGAATTGTAAACTACCTTTTTAATATCCAATCTTCAATAACACCAAAGTTTATAAAATATTTTAGATTCTTATAAAAACAGAAAACTTTTATTATTATCCTATTCTAAGATCTCATAGTATTTACTTTTCTATTTTTGTAAACAAAAATGATAAATGATAAATATACTTTTTGAAACATATAGTATATATTTCAAAGGGACGTGAAATTTGTTTATATGTAATCTATCTAGGGATATGTCTTTATTTGACTATAGTTTAATGTTTATGTAATAAAATTTGTTTTTAAGTGAACATACAAATCTCCCATGACTGAAATTCTAAAAAGGGACGTTTTGGGATGAAAAGCTATCCTTTTTTTGTACACAACAAACATGTCTTAGTGACATAATCCGTTAGATTGTTTGTGATTTCATTGCATCAAATACCAAACACGATACCATTGAAAATGATTCAACAATCAGAATTTTGGTAGAATCAAGATTTTATGCTTTCAGTAGAGTTACAAAAGTAACAAAACATTGAGTAAACAGTGGATTTTTACTTGGTAAAGATACCACAGGCATAACAACTTAAAAGGTATAATCGACACCTATAAAAATTACATATAATCCTAACACAAACATAGTCACAAAGTAATCACAAGCTCTTGATTTAATAAACACCGTCTCTTCTCCTCTCTCTACTGTTAACCCAAATTAGGCGACTGGCGGGTGGAGCTCATGATCCTGTGAGGTATCGACCGCAGCAGGTGGCAAGAACTGCCACATGGCCATTCCTGGGTAACTCATAACAGGAACCAGTTTATTACCCATTGATGCTAATGATGCTGATTGGACTTGAGGAAGAGGAGGAGGAGGAGGGTATCCAGCAGGGATGCCAGGTGGCACACCCATAAACCTCGGTTGGCTGTTGATCATGTTCACTTGTTCTTCAAGCTTCTCTTTTTCAGCCTTTAGTCTCTGCTTTTCATCACGTAGTTCGTTCTTTTCAGACTACATAATATTGTCAATATGTCATATAAATACATGATTAGCAACTTGAAGAATGCTAGAAAATGGAAAGACACATGGCACAACTGGATTGGATTGGATCAGTACCTTAAGCTCTTTAATTTTCTCCTGGAGATCTGAATTCGAGTCTTTTAGCTTCTGTGCTTCGCTTCTTAATTGAGTCACCATTCGCACAGCATCAACCAAAATAGCAGCCTTATCAGTTTTAGGGTTCCTCCCAGGCTCAAGAATTGAAGCCAATTCAACAAACCTGTTAACACATGTTACTTGTTATAATTTTAACATACGAGAGAGAGAGAGAGAGAGAGAGAGAGAGAGAGAGAGAGAGAGAGAGAGAGAGAGAGAGAGAGAGAGAGAGAGAACATAGGAATGAGAGGATAAAGGGTATACTTGTCATTTAGCTTGTCCCTTCTCAACTTCTCTCGGCAAGCTTTGGAGGTTGTACCACTGCATTGTTCATTCCTACCCCTGTTGTATAGATACAGAATAAAAGATTGTTACTCTTTTCTCATCATTTACAAATTAAAAAAAAATCCATAAAGGTATGTTACTGTATGTATTTTCACATAAGTTTAAGAGTAAAGAGTACTAAATACTACATACCGCTTTTTTGAACCACTTTCTTTAATGCCATCTGTATCCGCAGGTAAGCTATCAAGTTCCACACTAAAACAAGGATTAAACGAGTAACGTGAATTAGTAGAAGCAATTGAAACTCAGAAACTATCGAAAAAGAATGCATCCAACATCTTGAAGATTACGACCAGTACACAATAAGTTATTAGAAAAAATGTGGTTGATCAAGAAATTCTTCATAAAACTACATTAGGAACATTGTTTACTTTACAAACCAAAATAAAAAAATTGCATAATCAATTTGCAAAATCTACAGAAACAATGATGTTTTTTTTATAACATTAACCTTGCAATCTTACACATTTGATCAAAGCCATTGAAAAAGGAATCAATTTTATCTCCTCAACTACATCGCAATCTAGTTAGGGTATCACCGATGGAAGCAACAATCACCGTAAATTATAACTAATAACCTATAACAACACCAAAAAAAAACCTTTTTTCTTTAAATGTTACACCTCTAAATGAAAAACCCCAAGTGAAACGATCAATCAATCAATTCGATGTCGATGTAGAGTGGGCGAATCAGGTCAATTGTTGTACTTAGTAAATGGAATAAGTAATACACACGTTACCTAGGGATGGATGATGAACCATTCAAAGCGGTCTGCATAGGCCAGCTGGATCCACATACCGGCGTAAGGAAATTACCGACGGGAACCGATATATCATCGATCAACCCGTAATCGTAGATCCAATTACTGTTCTCCGGAGAAACCATCGAAGAAACAATACACAACCAAGGAATCCCCGGCGGGAATGCACTGTGAAGTAGAAAAAGCTGATAAGGATCTCAGTATCTCGCCGACGTTCGTTATTCTCCGGTGAGTAGATTGGGGGAGCCGGTGTATTACTCGGTGTTTGGTGGAGTGTTCTTTATTTGAATTTACTTATTCGCTCAACTGAGTTTACCGTCACGCGTCACCGATCTCGGTAGCACACGTCATTGTATTTTTGGGCTTAATTATTATTACTTTGGGCACATGCAATATGGATATACTATTGGCAGCATAGGCCCATATAGGGCTACGAACAAGGAACAAGGAACAAGTCAATAGTGTCTCTTTAGTTGTTCTGGAATTTTTCACATGTTTTATTCAAGAAATTGCGCAATGCATCTTTTTCTCCTTTGTTATTAAAATAAAGGTACTTTAAATTAAGATTTAAAGATTTACGTTATGACTTTATAGCCAACTAGAAAAAAACACCCGGGCTTCGTCCCGGGTCGGATTTTTCTTTTTAACAAAATAACATCCTACTTTTATTTCAGCCTAATTCAATGTAAAAATCCATCTCATTACAGCAACATAATCCAAATTTAAAAGTACAATACTATAATTAATTGAAGTTTAAAAAATAAAAGAGAACAATGTCTTCATAAGCTTTTTTTTTTTTTAATAAGATAATATTGTAATAGAAAAAGGATGAAAACCAGTTGCTCTTCAAGCCTCACAACTTCTTCTTCCAAAACAGCAACTTCTGCTAGAAGCTATAATATCTGCATTTAAAATTACAATTTTTAAAAAAAAAGTAGAATTTTAATAAGAAAAAATAATTAATATTAGGATTTAAGACTAACTGTAGGAGGGATGATGGAGTCAATAGTGGAAGAGCTCCCAAAGGTTTTGTAAATGCTTTTTCTAAAGCTTTATAACATTTTCTTTATGTGTAAGCCTCTTCTATGATGATAATACAATAATTGAGATATTACATTAAATACCTTGCTTAGCAAATACTTTAAAAAAGTTTTAATAAGAGTAAATTACACGAATGGTCCCTATGGTTTAGGGTAATTTACACGTTTGGTCCCTAATTTATTTTTAACTCGGAAGGTCCCTACTGTTTGTTTTTGTTACGCGCATGGTCCCTGTCTTACCTAAAAAGACTATTTTGCCATTTATTTTTTAATTTATTCAAATAAACACACCCCTAACCTAATCCCCTCACATTATCTTACCTACCCCACCATTTTTCTCTATTTAAATAATAGTCTTTTTAGGTAAGACAGAGACCAAACGAGTAACAAAAAAAACCAGTAGGGACCAAGCGCGTAACAAAAACAAACAGTAAGAACCTTCCGAATTGAAAAAATAAGTTAGGGACCAAGCGTGCAAATTACCCCAAACCATAGGGACCATTCGTGTAATTTACTCTTTTAATAAAAAGTCGATGGTGACAACAAATAAATAAAATGTATAAATCCAATAAAGATAGTTTAACTAACCTTATTACAATAGGTTGTTCTATTTCATCTGCAAAGAAGAAAAACCAAAAATAAAAGAAAACATTTAGTGATCGAATTATAAAAAGTAAGAAAATGTAAGATTAGTGTAATAAGAAGGTTAAAAAAACCTTTAATCATGAAAAATGGCATATATATGAGGTTTAACTTTGTATTTACTCTTATATCCTTAAACATAATCATTCTCATACAATGAAATTTTCTTGAAATGGTCGATGTAACATCTGGATTTTCAGGTATCATAAACTGAGTATTTATTTTTGAGTCAAGGAGAGGGACTCGACGAGTTGACGCCTAGAC